TGAGGGTTCCCAATAACCAATTACACCTCTTACGGCCTCTCAAATAACTTTAATCACTGATTAGGATTCCTTGTTCACAAAGCAGCTACTTAAAAGTAATTGCTCAATAAAGAGAGGGGAAGTTGTCGTATTAAGTAGGTGTTCCTGCTGCTTCTCTCATTAGTGCGCACTTGGAGCTTTCATCTCCCTATTGTCACAAATGGAGTCAGCTTCATTCACAGCACAGGAGCCGTTCTCGCTCTGTCTGCTTCACACTGCTTAAAAGCCTAACGGCATTAGCACAGCTCAGAACCGCAGAACAGCGAGTGCTAAAACCCGTGTTGTCGTTTGTTTTGTTTTTTTTGTTTTTTTTTGTTTATTATTAGAAATAGAAAGATTGAGTCCCATGGCTGACACCAATGGGACAAAGTTTCTGTGGACAAAGATGTTTTGGATTTGTCATTTCAGGAAGCAGAAACCCAGGATTTGATTTGTAGCGTTGGGACGTCCAGGTTCACAGTTTATTTAGTTAGTTAGTAAGTTTAAAAAGTTCTTTTTTCACTTATTATGTTGCTGTTTAGCTGCAGGTGAGAAGGATTCTTTCTGATAAGGAAGACATGAAGATTTGACTGTGTGTATGTGTGTCTGTGGTTGAAAAGAAAGAGAAGTGAAAAATTTTAAAAATATTTCTGTTTGCACTGCAAATGGTGTTTTTAGTATGTAGATTTCTGGGTGAGACTTTCCCCATTTTGCAATATTTAAAACAACCACTGTGCTCTAATATAGAATCAAAATGAATATTACAATAGCCTGCTTCAGTGTTTTTGCCCACACTCTTACATTCTCCCTTTCAGCCCGGTCTGCCTACAGAAACTGCGGTTTACATTTTAATAATATTCATCCAGTTTACCACCTCTCGCTCTAATATTGACTCAGAGGCAGGAACTGAGTTCAGGAACCAAAACTAGAACTATGTCCTACAGGTCGTAGAAATATAAGTTAAGTTCCTTGTTTGAAGGGTTCTTGAGGTTGTACTGGAAGACTTGACACCAAGCCTACAGTTTACTGTCATTCATCTACCAAGATTATGCCAAAAGGAAGGAAAAAGAAGAACCCGTTAAATTTCTTCGGACTTAATTTGTGCATTGGTGGTTGCCCTCTCTGAATACCCCAGTACTTTATTCCTGCTATTTTTACAGTAATGCAGTTAGAATGATATGCTATGTATTTTAAACATGCTAAATGTGAATAGCACTTTGAACATGAGGCAAGCACGAAGGAATAACGATGAAGGGTATTAATATTTAGATAATAAAAGCATCAAACTGACTATTAAAGGCAGCCTTAATAGCTTTTGATTACACAGTGCTGTTGAACAGTGATGCTAAGGGTGGATCTAAACAGAGAGAAGCTATCGTCATCATGTCCATGTGACGAGCAACAACATTTAGACTAATGTGGGAAGTCTACGTTGTAACTTGGGACCTGTTGGGAAACCCATTTAGCGCTACACATGGCCTTTTATATAACCGGATGTGCACCTTCCAAGAAACGTGATTACACGTCGAGCCTGTGAAGACTGAATTGTGTAGGCCACGGCGCCATGGCGCAGGGTTAAAGGGGTTTCCAGTTATGTCTTAAGTTCCCACGTAGATTTCTAGCAGAAGTCTTAGGCCTCAATCGCACAAACCTAGAGACCGCTCTGCAACCATCTAGCAACCACTGGTCACTGGACTGGTTGTCGACTGCTTGCTGGAAGTTGCTAATGGTCGCAAAGAGGCTCCTGCCCCGAAAACCACCTTGTGTCTGCTTTGGTTGCTAGCAGATTACCACAGTGGAAAAGACAGCTTGTCTGTAAACACTTGTAATTACTAGCTCGGGGAAGTTAAACTTTTTTTTGTTGTTGTAACCTTTAGAAATTATGTTGGCTTAAGATATTGTTTTACATATAGAATGTATGGCTTCTAGTTGAAACCAATAAAGTCAGGAGTGTTTGAATGGCAGTGAAGATCTTCTGGTCTCAGGTGTGTTGTATTTTCAAGAGTAAGATCATTCCTCTTATAAAAGAATGTTCACTTATGGAAATGAGAGATAACATTACACGCCACTTAATTCGAAAGGCTTCTTCTTAAACGCCGTTTCTTTCTGACCCTGGATCAGCTGCAAACATCTCCAAGGCTGAGTGCATTTTTTTATGAGACAGAATGGTTTTCCTTGAAAAGACTACTGGGGGGTGCAAACAGTGCATGCAAAGTTTTTTTTCTTTTTTGAATTTAACATTAGCACACTAATGCGATTCACTCCTAAATGACTGGTGCAATGACGGATGGGGGAAAAGAAATTGGGTCAAGAGGGGAAATGGTCAGAAACATCCTTTGAGCAAAGATGCCTAATGACCCCCGTTCCTCCTCCAAGTCTTGCTTTCCACTGTTCCACGCACAAAGCTATAAAACCTTTTCAATAAAACATGATTCTCTGAAACATTTACAACTCATGTTTCCTGAAGTGATGAATCCAAAACATCTTTGATGTTTGAGAGAAACGTACATGCAACTTAATGATTTAATTCTCTGTAAGCCACAAGTTACAAGTGACTTATATTCGGGTAAAAAGGATCCGTGGTGGAGGGGAGGGCGGGCCGGGCCCGAGCCTTGTTGTCGAGCAGCATATTTTATTTTCTCTCCCAGAGGTTTAGAGGAGCTGTTACACTCTGGAGTTTTAGTGGAGGTCACAAGGTTATTATATAAACAATTCACATGGAGGGCCTCAAGTGCCCAGAGGGAATGTTTAATGCAATGCTCACAATTTCTTGAACGTAGTAATGCTCAAGACGCAGAAGTGTCCAATTTTAACCATGCTGCATTATCTCTCTGTCTTCGTTTCCTTTTCCCCCCCCCCTCTTTCTGCCGTTGTGTTGAGGCAACTGAAAACCACGCTTAATTAATTTGGTCAGCTGCCTTGGATAAACTACACTGATGACATCAATTAGATTCTAATGAAAACAGATAAAAGCCATGGAATGCAAATGGAATTTCAGAACAGGACTCATCAAAGTCTTAGCATTGGAACAAATTCCCATTACGTCTCATAAAAGCCTTTAATTTGCAAAGCTCATGTCTGGTTTGGTACTTAGAAGTACATGGTCAAATGATTCAGTCTTAAGTCCTGTGCCGAGAGAAGCCAAATCAGAATTTAATTTGGCATGTAACTCCTTATCCTGTCTGAAACATGTGGCAGGATGCAATCCTTGGATTAGCGTGCACTTCAGAACTACAAATTTAGCTTGTTTCTCGTCGTCTGGCACGGCAAACACCTAGTCTAACCCGTCTCTAACACAACATTTCAATTTCAATTTCAGGGAGAGAGGGGGGGGGGAGGAAGCCACGCTTGCTCCAGATTAGTACTTCTTAGTTAACCAAATTGCTGCAATTATGTGTGTCAGTCCGTTGACGTGGGATAGCGAGGCTGTACTTCTTTGTCTCATTCGCTCGCCGTCTCTCTTTTTTTTAACTCTATGACCTCTTCCATATGTTAGACTTGATTTTGCAGGTCATGCAAATGATGATGACTTCTAATAATAAGTCTTCATCAGCTACTCTGCAACCGGCGTTCTGAATAACAAATGTGCGCTCCGTTAAACGACTTGCTACATTACACTGCATCTTTCAGTCGGTTCAACACCTTAATGACAAAATGCCATTGTTGCGTTTTAAGCTACTTAAATAAGTCAGAATAATGAATTAGACCCTGCTGAGTTGTTTTCAATTGAATTTCAAGGTAAACCGCTAATAATAAAAATAATCAAAATGCTGTCGCGCTGAACAAACAATGTTCAGTTCAAATTAAAAACACCGCACATTTGTGCACACGGCTCTCGTATGGCAGACATGTTTGCAAACAGTGACCTGCAGATGCAACGATTAATATCAGCATTCGTTTTGAGTTGATTTTAGCTCCATTAGGGAGAGAAGTGGGAATAAAACGGATGGTGGACAGCATCTGTGAGCTGCATCAGCCAAAAATAGGTTATTTTGTTACTTAAGCCCACTCCCAGTAACCTCTGGTATCAGTGGTGCTGACCACCTAGTTACTGAATTTCTGTAGTGTCATAACTAGGCAGGTAACTTTTATGGGTTATCAACTTCCTGCTGTGCAGTGGGCAAAAGTAATACTGAGATCAGTGAGGTGGGAAACCAGAACAAAGAGCTGAAAGATGCTAAAATGCTCATTAGAAATAAAGGAAATTGCAGAATCCAGTGGTGTTTCTCATGATGGTGAAAAACAAAAGCAGTTTTATTGATTGTTACTAATAAAAAATATGCATATATATTGATTGTTAAAGCTCAAACCTAATGTTTGAGCATTTGATCCAGCTGACATCTAACCTGCAGGTGTAAAGAACATCTTTCTACCCCATAAAACTTCCTGTAAAATACTTAAACTTTTTATTGTCATTGCACAGTCATGCTTTGTAGAGTAGTACAACGAAACTGAGGGACTGTCCCGCATCGGGGATAAAAGAAAGTCACGCAGTAATCATAACAAACACCATATATACAGAATAAAATATGCAGAAAATACAAACTTAATGTTAAAACAGATGGTGATGCATTAATGCGTCTCAAAATGATAATTTGATGCACTTACATACTTTATAAATCATGTTTGTGTCAACATGCTGGACGCTCCAGAGCCAGTCATGTATTTATGCGCTATAAGCAGGCTTACAGTGTAATCTACTTTTAACCTCGACCATGCAGAGCATCATGTGCACTATTTCTCCATAGATTTGTAACCCTTTACCTTGTTTTCGGCACCTGTTGTGTTGGTTGTTGTAAATGAAACATCTTTTTTTAATCATTTTATTATTTTTTTGCCGGTGTTTTTTCAGCGGTGGACTGTGTGTGTTCTTTCACAATTGTGACAGTTTGTTTGTAAAAGGAAAAAAAAAAGGGGAAGTATTTAATGAGCCGTTTTTGTTTTTCTTGGTGTGTGTGTGTGCGCGTGTGTCTCCATCCCAGCGGACTACCCTCCCCCTCCACCACCTGTCGAAGAGTCAACCGGCTTCCTGTCATCCCCTGGTTCCTTCCCTCCTCCACCGCTGGGGAACTCGTACGATTATCAGGTGAGAGGAGCCGCTGTTCTATTAAATTTTCTTGGTTGTCAGTAACTCTCTAAGAGTCGGCGCAGAAAGCAAAGACAGCCCCGAGCGCCGCACTGAGTTCACGTACCAAGTCCAGCAAAACTATTTGTCCATTTGAGCTGCAGCCAAATGCAGAGACGTCCAGCTCCAGATGCTGCCTGGAGCCAGCCGCTCTCCACCCGTGGACCCACACACACACACACACACACACACACACATTTCCGAGGGCTCTGATGCAGGAAGGATGGAAGGCTGACACCTATTGGTGGAGCCCGGTCACTTTTCTGCGCTTTGCTGGTCATAATACCCACAGGCATTTGGCCCTCCTGGGATTTCTGGCCTCTGCACCTCTGACTGACGCTCTCGGCGCTCGACCTCTGCTATGAAATCCTCCAAGTGCTTCACATTCCTTTGTTCGCTGCAAACAGGAAGAAAGAAAGTCTCCCTCTTCAAGCCCCTCATTTGATCTGACCAGTTTTCTATCCTAAATGAATGCTTCCTTTGTAAGCTTGGAGACAGAATGTTGCATAATTCAAATAAGTTATGCATTGCGTGTAAATTCACTGCTCTTCCCACACAAACTGTAAACACAGTAAGTATAAAACTCGAAGCTTTAAAAAACCCTAGGACTATCAGTATACGTGCATGCATGCTGCGCTATGACCTTAATGTAATCTAAAGCACTTTCAAAGTCACGCAGTTATTTTAAAAGGTGCAGTGCTACGACTGTTGGAGTTCTGAATTTCATGGCTTTGTTGAACGTCAGGTTCAGCCAGCCAGCAGAGCTGCTCCCCTCTTACACTTTAGGCAGAGCACAGAGACACGTGAGCAATGAGGAATGCAATAGGCATACAACAGAATTTACTTCTCTTCTTAGAAGTCTACAGAAACCTTAAACTTCCACATACCCCTTAGTTTAATGAAGGCCGATGACTTTGGCCTTGTGCTTGCTGGGTGGGGCAGTTTCTACCTAAACTCCGGCTGCTGCTCAACAATCAGTGTCGATCCTGTTCACTTTGTTACAGTTTAATAATGTTACACCTACACTTACGACCCAGCATCCTCTCGATTTGTACCTGGAGACAGGAATGCAGCACAAGTTTTTAAATTTTCAGTCTTAAATCTTGTACGCTTTTCTGATGATCGAGGAAAAAGCTGAATTTAATCTACATCGCCACATCCAGAAACTTTGAATCATTTAAAAAATGTCTCCTTGGTGCTGGTATTTCTTATTAATCTTTTGGCTCACATTTATTGCTTAGAAGTCTTTTGTAGCAGTTTTATACATTTCTAAGCAGTCAAAATTCTCTGGATGAAAAAGCTTTTAAAAATAAATCTAACTGGGAATAATCTGGGTCCTTGTCTGCATGTGCTAAACGGTAACAGGTGAGCAAAGTGGTGAACACATGTCTGGTGGAGTAATGGCAGACTTTATAGGCAGCGTGCTTAGAGGGTTTTCTGGACATCTAACAGTCAGTTTTACTGGTATCTACACATTTGTTAACTGTGAACAGATCTATAAATTTTCACTTGTCCATATGAACCTGAGCAGGTTTTCCATGCTTTCACCTCCCTTCTTAAACTCCTATATTATATTTCAGTATAACTGGGAGATGAAATCCAGACTCCTACTATCATGCAAAAATGTATTTTTAAAACTTTACCTATAATCAGAGACAGTAGAAAATGAAATCAATTTGCCAAGTTACAGTACAACGTTTCCACTTCCTGTAAGCATCTCTTCAATCAGATGGATTTGTTTGAAGGCAACATGTGGCACTTTGGCCTTTTCTGAACGTCTATCAAATATATATTATTATGATGTCAAAAAGCCCTGTATGTTGGTAAAGCTCACAAACTAAAGGTGAGTGCCACATAGCTTCATGGTAAAAATGCCAAACCTTTCTCATATGTCTGGATATTCTGTCCGGATCTCATCTGTTAAAGGAAAATAATGATTTTAAAAATGTTGCAAATTTGAAGTAAAAATGTTCCCTGCATGTTCCAATGCCAGGGATTTCAGTTTACCTCTGTCCATTCGTCCAGGGTCACTGACCCTTACATAGACTTTGGCTTTAAACTTGTTTGGTTGGATCTGATTGATATCTTCCCTTTTTTTTCCCCCGTGCCTCGGATTTTGTCCTGCTCAAACGCGTGTAGATGTTTTTGAGAAAATGTTGATGAATCAGAAGACAGGTCTGTATAAATTGAGCAGAATTGGTTACCTGCTAACTCCAGTGGAAGTTGGTAGCCTGGTCCATTGGTAGCCTGGTCCGTGAGCCAAAATAAAGCTGATAGCTTCCAGGTTTGCATCTGTGCCGTGCATCCCGCTGCACATGTGCATTGTGCTTGCCAGTTCCCACAGAACCCGTGGACTTGAAGTGATAATGTCACATAAACACACAGACCTTTGAAGGTGCTAGGAAGGTTTTAGAAGTGGGAAACCTGCACAATAAAAGAGGCAACTGGGCCGTAAACTGGCTTCTAGCTCAGCATACGTCCCTTAATCATAATAGAGCTCTTTGCAGTCTTTACATGTATTCCCATGTATTACCACTGGGGCCTTTAGGTGACAGGAACTAAAACAGACAGAGGCTGAACTGATGAGACTGCATCATTTGTGGTCTGTATATGATAAATAAAGGGTTTCTTTTGAATTGTAAATCATGCAGACATGTGCGAGAAAAACCCCAGAATATAAATATAACATATACATTTGCATGATATGGGCCCTTTAACTCAGACTGCTTTGTTCCCGTAGGTTAAAAATGCAAAGCTAGTAAGAGTATAAATATTATTGTTTTCCTTCGTGTGTGAACATCTCAGCTTTTGGAGATCGGTGGTTTTGTCAGGACAGCTGTCAAATGCAACACATTAGCTGAACAGGATGATGGTTATAATCACGAGCATTAATTTAGTTCCCTTTTTGCTGCTGTAATTTTTGCCACTATTCTTGATTTTTCTTGTGTGGAGAGATGAAGGAAAAGATTTTCAAGGCCTGAAATTACATAAGAAATTCCATCCCTCAATTATTTTTTAAAGTGCTTTCCTGTATTCATCTCGAAATTTTCTTTTCCTATCACACTGCCGAGTCTTTCTGGCCTGCAGTTTAATTCCTTAAAACACCACGGGTATCTTAATTATGTGTCCTGCAGCCAGAGCAGAAGAGAACGCTGTTCAGAAAAAAAAGGGAAGATATCAATCAAAAATGTCTTTCTGGAGAAATTCTACATAGTGAATGAATAAATCAGCGATTTAATGGCATTTTACTTAAAAGAAGCAGAAATATGCTCTTGTCTTTATCCCCCTGGCAGAGGGAGATGTCTGGATTATGACACGTAAAAGCCGAGACCTTTAGCGGGAGAGAGAAAAACAAACCTCTCCTCCTGGCTGCAGTTCGCATTACGAAGCCCTACACGGCAAATTCCTCCGCAACACAAAGTCTGCGATGTTTCCTTTCATCCTCCTCGTTATCACCGTTAAACAAGTTTGCCCGTTTTTTTCTTTTGTTGATTTGAGACAAGCCATTAGTGTTTTGCTTTGTTTACTCCGGCTCATGATTGCCTTAGATGTTTTTAAGCAGCAGCTCTGCTCCAAATGGAGGCAAGCCCTGCCTGTAATAGATTGTGACAGGTAATCCAAACACATAACATTAGAATAAGAAGCAGCCACTGATCCAACCAACTCAAAAAGCCCCCACAGGCAATTGCAAGAAGTCTTCTTGCAGTTGCAGCATAGTTCAGAAGACTAAAAATACATCTGTCGTTCCATGGAGAAATTCCCGGGAATTTTGTAGAAAACGGGGTGCCACTATCGGTCAGATCGCTTTAACTACTTTCCAGATTTCTGCGCATCACTTTTGTTTTTCTTTTAATTAAATAGTTTGTGTCTTTTCATATGTCGAGGTTGCGTTTTTCTCTGAAGCGAAAGAGAAAAAATGCGGATGAATAAATCAGAGACTGCTGCTGCAGTGATCCTGTTACTGATGCTTTCAAGCTTCCTCTGATAATAACAGAGTTAAATAAAAATCACAGCAATTCTTAGCATCCTCTGCAGAATACATTCAAAGTGTGGATTAAAAAAAAAGTTTGACTTTGATTTTAAAGAATTGACCTTTCTCTGTGAAATAGTGCTGGATGAGATTGTGATGAATAATTTATGAAGAATGAGATACTGTAAATCCAAGAGCAGTAAAAGGCAGGTGAATAGTGCACCGTGTTATGAAAGTTGTCTTTCATACAATGCATCGCTTCTTTCTCACTCAGAGAAGTCTCTGCTATTGATGTGTGGCTTTCAAAAAGATTGTCTGAGGTCAAGGTGAAACATGAACTTGTAATGCAAAGTTTAAGAAGTGCAGAGAGAAAAAAGCAGGAGAGAAGATTTCTGAGCAGCACAGAGTTAGAAATACTCATCGCCGATGGCATTATGGTGACAGTAACTTGACCCTGTGAACCCGGGCTGTACCTGTTACTAGAGCAGGGCGATATGACCAAAAATATTTATCACGATATACATTTGAAAATTTGTGACAACGATATAACTGACGATATAATTGACACTAGACAAAATACTTTACAACTCCACAACTTTATTAGTGGGAAAAAAAATCAATGTATTTTCACTTAAACAAGCAGCTGTTTTTTTTATGTGCATTAAAGTTACATAAAAATTTAACTGTGCAAATGCAAATTCCTTGCTGACAGTTTAACCAAAAGGCATTTCCAGTGGAAATTGGCTGACATATCCTCAGCATAACCATGTATAATATCCACAAAACTTAAAAAGAGGTTATACACACACAATACGGTAATTTACATTGAAGCACAGTATGTATCACTCCGCAAGGCTCCTGCCTACGGTAGCCGTAATGCTCCGACAATCCATCAAGCAGTGCGGCTTCATAGCTTAGCAAAGTCGTACTAAAACATTTGACAGATTTTCGAGCACCGTGTACATAAAATCGTTTTGAGGTCAGTAAACACAAGCAGAGTTCATACATAAGGCACACGGGATTATAAGGGGCACTGTCGATTTTCAGAAAAATCAAAGGATTGATTTTAAGTGTGCCGTATTTTCCAAAATACGGCCGTCGCTATCATGCGCTACCACAAATAGTGCTTTGTTGTGTATCTGATGGACGAAAGCTAAACCAGTTCCACACCACTGAACTTGCAGCATTTTTACAAACCAGTTCTGGTTTATCCGTTTCATTCAACGACCCGCTTTCGCTCTTCTCATTCTCCATCGCCAGCACGCTTTTTCCGCCATGTGCGTATGAAAACAAAGGCACTGAGCATGCGCGTTTTACCCATATTCTATCGCAATATTTCATTTTTTTATCTCTGCCCAACATTATACCGGTATTACCGTGAACAGTATGATATGACCCAGCCCTACCTGTTACAACATAACCCACACCCAAGGTGAGTGTTGCTGTGACCAAGATGCATGGATTAGAAACACAGATTGCAATTTTCTTGGGCGACTCCACTTTAAGTGTGGCGATCCCGATTTTTGCCAGTTATGGTTTTCTTCCGAATAATATCAATAATAATAATGAGAATCATAACAATAATAGTTTACAGGTAAAATTTACAGCGGTTTCCCCTGATGAAAACGTGTACACCTCTCCACCTTTACCTGACAGATTTTATTTTACCTTACCAAACAAAGGCTGATACAAAACTAATGCCAGGTACTTCATAATTTACAGTACAGCGATCCCTCGAGTTACGCTGTAAAAATAACCCACGATAAGTGAAATGTAAAACCCCTGCATGGACATTTTCACACTTTTCTCTCTTGTTTAAATACTCTCAAAGTTCAAACCTTCGTAGAAAAATAAGTCCAGCATTATAGAATGAAACCAAAGGCACTCGCAGGTGACGACGTTTCGTGTGTTTGTTGCGGAGCAGTCACACTGCTAGCGATCAAAGATTTATGTAAGTTTAACAAGCTGAACTCATTCTGTGCTGTACAGGAGACACGGCATGAGATTGACTGACAATGGTCTAGAGCCAATCAGGACGCACAACACAATGCGTTGTTAAAAAAAGAAAAGGATGCAAAATTGCACAAAAAAAATCTGTGAAACGGCGAGGCTGCAGAAGTTGAACTGCGATATAGCGAGGGATCACTGTATGTTCATAACTTCACCAAATAAAAGGATATCAACCCGTTGCTCTACTACTTTGATCCATTGCTAATACTGAGGCTGCTGGCTTGTGGCTAGCTCTGAGCTCAGGATCACTTATCATTTGTTGGCTCCTTTAAAATGTCCATGTTAAGCTGGTGATTTAGGTTTGTTGACACAAACATTTTCACTCTGGTCCTTTAATGGGGTTCAGGGTCAAGGCCAAGGAGTGGAAATCGACCAATTCTGGTCCCTGGGTGATCGATTGGTGCATCTGTGGTAGATTTACCATTTGGACAAAGGAAAAAAACAAACTGCCGCTGTGAGAGTATGAAACAGACTACGTGATGCTGATGTTTATATCTATATGCTGGTTTGTTTGCATTTCTCTGCAGTCATGAATGATACTGTTGGAGCACTTAAATACTGAACAACAGTTACTTTACTAAAATGCAGGAAAGAGAGACGACTTCAGGTCTGATCAGACATTTACAGAACATGTGACTACCAAGGAGACCAATCAGATTTGGTGTTGCTTCACTTCACTTTGATTTGTAACTAACTAACTATGGTGTAACTATAGTCTGGGTATGCTGGAGAGTCACCGTACTGCTAACACAAGGCTATAACAGGTGCATAAATCCCTTCTTATGAGGCATGGTGGAAGCAACATTGGGCTCTGAAAGTGCTTCTCGTGTTCGGGGAAATCTGCTAACAGATTTGACGATTTTAGAAAGTTTTTGAATAACATGTTTTCAATTTTAATGTAATTTAGAAGTTCAACTAGTGCATATGTTTCAAATGAAAGCTACAACACAGTAGAGTGTGCAAACAGTGAAGGAGTCTGAACACTTTATCGGACGTCTTCTCACAGGTGAAAGGCCCAGAAAAGACGCTGGAAGAGAGGCGCTCCAGTCTGGACGCAGAGATCGACTCCCTCACCAGCATACTGGCAGACCTGGAGAGCAGCTCGCCCTACAAGCATCGAAGCACACAAGTACGTAACCTACAAAATTTCATGCAGATGTGAATTTAAGGCTGTGCTTTTCTTGGGCATTTACTGCAGGCCAAAGTTGAAAATGACTTTTACCGTTTTCAGTTTATGCACGACCTGTAAGGAAACATTAGCCTTTTAATATTGTCAAATACATTTTACAGAAACTAAATGTCAGCAGAATTGATGCTTTTACTTCTAATACTTAAAAACCTTAGTAGGGCATGAAGCACGCTGTTATCAAATGCTTTTACTGAAGTATGTGAGTGCAGCCTCTGTTGGCATTCAGTAACACTTATATCCGCACAATAAACGGCACACTTATAGACCTGTAGCTGCTCTCCTGTGAAGTGTGCTAAAAATGCAAAGAATAATTAAAGTTTTTTAAACTGTTGAATGTTGCAAAATACAAATTAGGTTTCCACATGAAACAGACCTATATATGTTGCATCTTTTTAAAAAAAAATGCAATAATGACAAAATGAGTCTTGACCTATATCATTAGTTGATATTAAACGATATTAACGGCAACTTCAAAAAGTCAAAGCCTTGGGCAGTTCACTAAATTGTTTGACACACAATGAATGTAGGACAAGCGGATAAAAAAGCCTTAACCAATTGTGTTTGGCGTAGGAAGGCTCAGTGGGGCTTTGAACACATGCAGATCATTTCTCTAGTGACATATTCGAGCAAAAATGAAATACCTGAAAGGGCGTTCTCTGTGGGGGCCTCATACTCTGTGGATATGTGGCTAAAGCGGAGTTAAAACAAATCTTAAAGGTGTTGCTTTTTCTGTGGATTATTTATAGAATAGTTACCATATCTGCTTTGTTTCCTTGTACATTTATTCAAGTATTTATATGTAAGTCAATAATTTAAGTCTGTGAATTAGTGATGTGGGTATTCGTGGGGTCCGTATCTCCATACGAGATCTACATTTTTATATCCACTGACCTTTGTGTGAGTTCAGGAAACAATTCTTCAGCGACTTTAAAATGTAAAACGCTTCGGTTTTGGAAACTCACACGAGGCAAAGTTAGGTTTACAAGTAGTCTGAGAAACATGGTATTTTGGGGGACGTGTGCAATGTGAAAAAGCCAAACGAAGACTGAAGATTGCAAGGGTTGACGTCCTTTGGTTAGGTGACTCCTGGCTCTCTGGTTAGAGGGAGAGGGAAGGGTGTACTGCTCACAGAGTTAAAATTATTGCACCACACAGGGGAAACAAAGCGGAGACGGAGAGAAAGGAAGTAAACGCTGCGGTTCTGAAATGATACGCTTTAACGGCAGTAACTAAAATCTGACTTGATGATTTCTAGTATGCTTACTGTTGTGGTGAGCGAGTGTGTTCGTGGGTGCTGATGTGGGGAAACTGTAATAACATGAAATTATGTGCTCATAAAATATGGTGAAATGCTCTTTTGACAAATCAAATTGACATCTCGGCGTATGTTTTTTTAGTACAGACAAGGTAAAAAGACGATTCAGAGTCTGAGCAGATCGCGACGTCTGCAGGTCTCTGTCTCGTCTCTGTCAGGTTTCCGAGAACTAGTCTTTGTAGTGCTGGACAAGAATCGTGTTTGATAATATTGTATGCTATATTTCAGTTTTCATCCAGAGGTGGCACCGGTTTGAACCATTCTGCAAAATTAAATTCTAATGACTTTTTTCACTTAGTTATGCAAAAAGCAAAATTTGCTGTTAATATAAATAACTGCTGGAGCTCCACAAGTTAACACATTGCAGAAGAGGACGGCATAAATAACAGAACCTTGTTTAAAGGTAAAAAGTGATGAAAAATGAATGAAAACATGGCATTTTGTGGAGAAATCACTATTTTTCTTTCGAGCTGATTTTCTTTTTGGCACGTTTTAAACATGTTGAGTCGATTTGTTGTTGTACATTATAACTCCGTCATCTTATTTCTGATGATTCTATGACACAGTTTGATGCGCGTGCATGCATATGTGTAAAGCAACCTGTGTAAAGTGTAAAGCAACCTGTCCAGCGTGTACCCCGCTTCTCGCCCTAACTCGCAGCCCGAGAGTTGGTATTACTTTTTTTTTTTTTTTTTTATCAAACAGTACCTCTGCCTCTTCAAGTGAAGTCTGGAGTTCAGACTTCTCTGTTTTTTTTTTTTTTTTAGCTCCAGCTCTCCGTGACCTTGAATTGGATATTTGGCAGAAGATGGATTGATGGAATTTTTTTGGTTAATTCTGGTAGACTTTTTTAAAGGAGTAGTTTGACATTTTGGTTTCTTTCAGTTCCCGCCTAAGACTAAACCCCCTGCTGGTCCTGACCATGAAATCTTGATAGCCTGTTTTTGCTGTTAACTCTTCTAAAGCTATAAAAACATCTTGAAAAAGAAGTATTGAGTACTATTTTAACTTTTCAACATCGATTGATATTCTTTGCTGTATGTGACTGATGGTTCTCTCTTGCTGGTTTTAGGGTTAAACAGTTGATGTGGATTGATAGTGTCACTGCCCCATCCCGTCCTCTTATTGGTTGAAGTCACAGTGCTGAGGCTGACAACTTCTGTGGCAGTAATTCTGCACTTATTGCCCCCTCCGTACCTTTCCATCTAGTGTGCATGGCTTGTGCCAGTTGGCAGGTAGTTTTTCTATGAATTATTAAAGACCATCGATGCTTGTAGTTGTTCTCTGTTGTTGCATAAGTGACTCTGCTTTTTATTTTAAAGAACTTCATTTGCATTTCTGCCAGTCAGTTCAAATTTTACCGTTCCAGCTTGCGTTTCTTACAGCGGTTAGCATGTTCTGGGTTCAAATCCACCGGCTTGCTGAAGCCTTTCTTTGTGGACTTTACCTGTTTGGGTTCTCTCCGGGTTCTTGGGTTTTCTCCCAGACTCTCACGTTTTAGGTTAGGAATTTGACTGTGAATGATGATCTCTCTCTGATGGACTTAAAGGTGTACCAAGGCAGGGGTTGAACTACGTGATGGCACCCTAATCTCTGCTGAGGCAATCAGATGGATTATCTGCAATTGCTTGGAAAAAAACAAAACATATATATGTATATGAAAATAATCAGTTAAAAAAGGGCCTGTCTATACAGAGTTTGTAGGGCTTATCAGTGGTTTTTATTAAAAACATTGACTACCTATAATATGTAACTAGATCCCTTCCACCAACAGAGCTTGTGAATATGTAAGGAACAGGCATGAGTGACATCAGCCTTCTCATCTCATCGTTGCCACCCCCAAAAGAACAAAGTGTGAAGATCCACAGTCTTTTTCTATACTTGGGTGCCATTGCTGACCTGTAAGCATCACAAATGCAGCTGCTGAAGTTGCTGTTTTTACATAAATCTGCCAGTTGGAGCTTTTAATTTATAAATAATTATTTGGGCTAATATTGTGGCATTAAAATAAAGTCACAAAATGAGTCTTTCCACATTAAATACACCTCTGCCTTTGGCCTGATCAGAGATCTGTTTCACCGAAATGACTGGTGAAAGCCATTCCCTGGTATATGAAAGTTGGCAACTTGCTGTAAAATACTCAGATTTCCTGAAATGTGAAAGCAGACATTTTAACAGTGGAGTTAACAGTATAACTATTTTCTCTATTCTTGTGTGTAAAGCTGTACAGTATACAAGAGCTGACCTTCAGACTGCAGCCCTACAATATACTGTTTATAGTCTACGTGCTGTTAGCTGTCAGTGTTACAAGGTCATGAATTTTAACAGTGTGGAGAACACAAAGCATCTGTGTTTCCTTTATTCTCTTTGTCTTTCTTATAAACACATAAGGATTTCTAGTCATACTGACAATGCACGGGTGCCCACACGTACACGTGTAATAAAAGGAAGCACATCTCTGGGATGTGAAGCTTCTAGCTGCTGGCCTTTTTTTTCCTAAATAAAATATATGATAAGTGCATACCTTTCCTGAAGAGAAAAACCGTGCAGTGTGTATTAACAGGGGTCTGAAAGCTTTTGTCAACATGACTTCAAAAATTGATGTGCGCCTCTACAGCTCTGTTAGAGGCCAGCTTCCCAATGTCGTACTAACTGATGTGTGTCTGTCGTGTTGGTTCTACCTGTGAGGGTCAGATGTGATCTGCGCGTTTATTTTGATCATAATCTGCTGCGAGATTTCGGGGTTATGGGTGGGAAGCCACACCACCTGTGTCTCAGCAGAGTGCGCATACGTTCTGTGACATGTATTAATAATGAAACGTTTCAAGTCGGACGTTTTGCAGAGTTTACCAACATCTCTTTGCTACCATGATGCCCTTTTGCGGTTGCCGTGTAAAAGATTTAGCTTTCTATTTGATTGTTTATTTTCCAGAGATACGAGCACTCTGCAATGCACGCACATGTGCACCCACACACACACACAGACAGTTACTTTCTACTCAGCTGATGCTGATTCTAGCTGATTAACTCAGGTTGACCTTTTCCCCTACCCAGCTGCTCCTGTCAGTCCATGCTCAGGCTCTTTCAATGCATTATGTACAACATAACACTGGTGTATGTGTGTGTGTGCGCGTGTGTGTGTGTGTGTGTTTAATGGGCCAGGTTTCGTACTCCAGCATCGGTACAACTGCTGCACAGTAATCTTCCACTTGTATAAGCAAAAGAGCAACGAGTGCTCTTGATTTAAGCTTTCTGTGCACAGGCAATCACACAGCCAGCACTCCAAAATCAATAGACCACCCTGCGCTCTGCCTTCAAGCTTCTAGGAGAGGACTCTTCCCTCCCGACGGAAAATTTGGAATCAGAGAGGGGACCTTATGTGTGCTCGCCTCCCAGATGAAATTGAAATGGACGTTGCTGCTCATTCATAAAAATCTAAGTAGCATTCCTGCGAACATTCAGCCGGCACTGATGCTTCACAGACATCAAAACAATTTTGTTTGCTTTAGTTGGTATTCTCTGTGGCATAACAGTGGGTAATGAAATGTGATCATTATATAATTCCCATTTGTTCTCTCTCCAGTTCCATCTTAGATGCCATTTGTTATTTGACACAGTTAACTAA